TTATTTAATTTATATATTAAAAATATATATTGTAAAAGAAACAACATCTCTCATAAGTGAATATAATAAGTTTAATGTTAGCTTGCCTACAGAAACCAAATGACTAATATTGAAAATAAATTTTAAAACAATATATCTTGTCAAAAGATAAGAACATATAGATTTTATTATTAAAGAATATAAAAGTTTTTAGAAATGTTTTTATATTGATAAAAGAATAATAAAAAATTATAAAAAATAGGTTGTTTTGTTTATTTTTTAATATGCAGTGTTTTTTAAAAATCAAATTATATTTATTAGTTTTACTTGAGAATAAACTTAATAAAGCATAGTTACGTTAATAAGGTTATCTATTTGCACACGTGATTCATCAAGGTCAGCCTGTCTTGACACGTGATCCATCGATGGTTTTTCGGACATTCAAACGGCTCCAGTTTTTAATTTAAATTTTTTAAATTTTTAAATTAATAATTCACTTCTCATTATATTAAAAGAGGTAAGAATTATATATGGTATTCTATTTACTACTGTGTAATTACAGTATTTCATATTTTATATTTACAGTGTATAGTGTATAATTAAGAAATAAATACTGTATATACAGTGAATATAATTTATATAAAAGAAAATAGTTGCTTGAAAAAGATTAATTGAAAAAAAAAAAGAATATCAACGTGTTCGAATTATAGATTCAAAAAAATTTTTGAAGCAAGTATCTTGGACAAAACTACTTTTTAAGAAACATCACAAAGAGATCAGCATAATCGTTGGAAGAAGCAAAGATTTACGTGCATGCGTGTTAGTGGTGGAAAGATTATAACAAAGCAAGAAGTCTATTATTCAAACCGATAAGCCAGGGTAATTGATTGAACCGAAGGTCGCTCTATGAACCGGTACTTTTAGTGGTTTTTACTAATTTTACTGTGGAGGTACCGATTGGTTTCATGGCTTGAAAGCATTCGTTTTTACTATTAAAGTTAACTTATTTAAAGCCGGTTCTTTGTCAGTAAAGTTATTCAATAAATAACATTATCCTTGTGCATATAACTTAACCAAACTGTTTTGTTCGGCTGAAATAATGCGAGTTCTTTCGTTACGTTCGATCAAAATTCATTAATACTAAAACGAATAAACACGTTCACCTGCAAAAAGGCTGAACTTTTACACGTAAAAACAGTACTTTTCAATTAATACTACTTCTTAATTTCTTTGTTATTTTGTTCATAGTTTATTATAAATGTACTGTATTTACAGCACGTGATTACCGTCGGCCCTGTATTATTACCTGAATCTTTGAAAGTTTCAAATTTATGCTAGTTGATTATCTTGTTTTCGTTAAATAGTATTCCGACACCAAGAAACGGAAACAAAGAAATTGGGCGGAAATTAAATCATGCGATTAATGGTATGCATGGATTTAGAAAGTAACGAGATGGACATGCAGCCGAACATGGTTACTAAAAGATGATCTGCAAATAACATGATGACTCTTTGGCACTGGCAAAGGTCAAGAGGGTGTAGGTGCAAGGAAGTAATACGTGAAGGAAAAATGAGGAAAGGAAGAAAAACATTGCATTTTGTCCATGATAATGAAGTAGATGGAAAGGTTTCACGTAGTCAAGTTGTTTGATAGTTATCTGTTTTATGTGACTTAATAAATAAAAAATGATCAGTCGCGATCAATAACAGTCGAAAACATTCTTTAGGTCATTGATTTTTCATGAGTCAAGTTTTATTAATCATTTTCATAGAAAATGAAGTTGGATTTTATTACATCAAGATTTTCTTCATATTTTTGTTGTGGTATGAATGCATACATTAGATGGTAGCAATATGCTATTGAGATTATGAAAATTGCAAATGCACCACATAAAATATTGTCTTAGTTTCCGATGTGTTGTTATGTTATATACATTGTAGGAAAAAAGCAAAATGCATGATACGCTATTCTATGAAGCCATTATATCGCTAGGTAATGGGTCAAATGGAATTGACATCTCATATTGTTTAATGAGGTCGTCATCTTCCTCTTCTAATTGTCTTTGGTTTAAAAGTCCATTTTTGACAAAGTAACTTTCATCTTTTACCAATAAAGTTGAAAAATCGATTGCACTTTTATCATTGAGGGATTGTCGAATTCGTTGTGATCTTGCACCAGTTAAAGGTAATACGGGAAACTTTAGCTTTCGGCTAGTATATATTGCTTGCGGGTGAACTTTCGGGGGAGCAACCATTTTTCCAGGATTCGTATCTATTCCTTTTTCTTTCAAATGCCTAACTCGAATTCTCTCAGCAGTACTGAATTGATCAATATTTTGTTTATACAAATGCCATTGTCCGAATTTTTCTGTCAATTCTGACGCCGAAGGACGTTCGTTGGGATTTGATGACCAACAACGCTTCATCAACTCGATGTAACAATCTGGTGTGTCTACACCAATGGTGGGACGTAGCCCGTGGCGACGAATGGAATCAATTAACTTGGTGTTTGAAGGACGGTCGTAAAATGGAGGTTTGTTTGTTGACAATTCCCACATTAAAATGCCAAAACTGTAAATATCACTTTTTAAGGATGGCTGTTCACCTCTCAGGATTTCAGGAGCCATGTAAGGCAAAAGATCATTTTTGTAGTAGCCTATTATCGGGATTGGATCCTTGCTGTCTCCGAGTCCCAGTTCATTAACAGGGATTTCCAAGTGAGATTTAAATATCTGTCCGTTTATCGTGTAATCACGATGTACCTGTTCACCATTATGTACAGATTCGAGAGCGCAAGCGATAGTATGAAGAATCGCCAATTTCTTAGACCAGGTCAATCTGGCATAATGGTGAGACACGTAATGCCTTAGATCCCATTCACAGGTTTCAGCGACCATCATCAGGTTACCAGTCACGGATTCTCGAGTTACACCAAATAATCTTATTACAAGACCATTCCGAAGTCGAAAGTTATAATGTAATTTTAACTATTTTTATAGAAAGGTATTTTAGAACTTATTCATAATCGATCTTAACACGGATAATTAATATAATGTTAAAATACTATACCTCTTTTAAGAATGCTGCGGGTGCTTTTCCCAGAGAAATTAAAGCGACCTTTACGAGTTCTCTCCTTGCCGCATATCTTCGTTCAACTTCGTCCCAAGCATCTTTTGGACCTTTCTTCCAATTAGCAGTATAGACTGTTCCTACTTCTGATACATCATATTTGCTGACTCCAATAAAAGAATTAAATGAAATCCACTCTAAATAATCAGTACAATCTTTTGCATTGAGTTGAGTGAACTTTATAAAGTCGTCGATTTCTTTGAAGTTGCTTGTCCAGTTATCAAAGTTTTCTCTGAATCGCTGCGCCTCGCATTCTTGGCACCATAATTTTGTGTCCAAACATTTATCACAAATAGGACAGAAAATTTTGGTAGTTGCACCCATACTCAACCAAACGTTTGTAGATAAAAGTATATATGAAGTGGAAGGTTTTTAACAAAAGTTTTAATGAAATGAGGTCAAACACTCGATATTTAAATAGAGTCCAGGATTCTCCCGAAAATGGAAATGCGATTCTGCAATGAGATGCATAGAAACTCCTATTTAGTTAATAATGTGATGTGGTTACTTTGTTCCCGAAAAAAAAACAATATACTTAGGTAATATTGATTTCTGGGGAGAAAAAAGATACATCATTGTGATGCATGAGAATTCTCAGCTCGACGTCAGCTCTGGAAGAATATTGGTCCAGTCGTTACATTGCCTTAATTTGTTCTATAATGTAACCATAAACAAACAATTTCAATGTAATCATCCAAAGGGAACTAATCAGCCGCAATTGCCGCAACCAGTAGTGTGGAAGGCGCACTACTTTATATATTTTTCGCGTGATGTTTGACGGCCCTTTTTTAACCCTTGTAAAGACCTAAAAATAATTGTCTTGTCTTACGCACGTGAAAACAAAACAAAATCAGTATTAAATATATTTATTTATACAGTATATACAGTATTTATACAATATTTTAAAAACTTGACTTTGTTCTAATAAAGGGCATAGCGTAGCGGTTTTTTTTGTTTTCAAATTCAGGAAATTAGAATGCGACAATAAATTGTCTTAGTTTCTTTTTTCGAGGTCATTACTACGCACGCACACACACATCACGTGTTCAAAAGTGGGTACGAGAAAATCCCGTGCAATCTAAAATCTCTGCTGTGAATATCAATCAGATAAAGATTTCAGATTCAGATTCTCCGTCGCCATGCATTAGATAATAAATTAATCTTATCTCCCCATGTAAGATTGATTTCTCCATCGATCTAATAATTATGATGATATATATATGTGGTTATATTCTGTCATCTCCTTTTCAAATTCAATTCCAAAATAATGTCTGCTAAATTGTGGGGAGGTCGCTTCACTGGCAAAACCGATGAATTGATGGATGCGTTTAACGCTTCTATACATTTCGACAAGCGTTTATATGAGGCAGATATCCTTGGTTCAAAGGCGTATGCCAAAGCATTGGCCAAACGAGGTATCATTACCTCTGAAGAGCAAGCTTCGCTTGTCGACGGCCTTGAGAAAGTTCGGTTAGAGTGGCAAACAAACACATTTGTGATACAGCCGGGTGATGAGGATATTCACACAGCAAACGAGAGACGACTGGGAGAGTTTGTCGGAAGCGTTGCCGGTAAATTGCACACCGGGCGCAGTAGAAACGATCAGGTCGCAACAGATTTTAGAATCTGGGTTAGGGAGGAATCAAAAAAAATATTGACTCATGTAAAACAATTGGTTGGCGTCGCTGTTGAAAGAGCAGAAAGAGAGATCGATGTACTGATGCCCGGGTATACTCATTTACAGGTAAAAATCCTTCTGTTTCTGGAATTCTCATTTGAAATGTGACCTTTCATATTTACCTGAACGAATTTTTGTTTATGTATTTTAGAGAGCTCAACCTATTAGATGGAGCCATTGGCTGCTAAGTTATGCCTGGAGTTGGCAAGCCGATGCCCAGCGCCTCGAGCAAATCATCGATCGAATCAATGTTCTTCCTTTAGGTAGTGGTGCGCTAGCCGGTAACCCTTTCAATATTGATAGGGAATTCTTGGCCAATGAATTAGGATTCAAAGGTGTCATGCAGAATAGTTTATACGGTGTCAGTGATCGCGATTTCGTTGCAGAATTACTGTTCTGGGCCTCTCTAACAATGGTCCATATAAGTAGATTCTCAGAAGATTTGATTATCTACAGTTCCGGAGAATTTGGTTTCGTCACTCTTGCCGATGCTTACAGGTTATTATTTGTTCTCTAAACAATCGTTTTCTTCAATTGTTGTTAACAACCTGTTTCTTCGTTGTAGCACCGGAAGTAGCCTTATGCCACAAAAGAAAAATCCAGACAGCTGTGAATTGTTACGTGGTAAAAGTGGTCGCGTCTTTGGTCAGGTAAATTTTTTTCAAAATAAATGGAACAATCCTGAAAAAGAAATTATTTTTTTTTGACGTTGATTTTTCGGTAATTTGAAAGTTATCGGGATTCCTGATGACTTACAAAGGTATTCCAAGTACCTACAATAAAGATCTTCAAGAGGATAAGGAACCACTTTTTGATGCAGTCGATACTTTGTCCGGTTCATTACAAATTACCGCAGGGGTTTTATCAACTCTCACTGTAAGTGGATCAAATTGTTGCAAAAGACAATTGACGAATTTCCGAAGATAACCATGTTTTTTTCTTTCTCGCATATATAGATTCATCCAGAAAACATGAAGAAAAATTTAAGTATTGATATGTTGGCTACAGATGTTGCCGAATATCTTGTACGAAAAGGAGTAAGTTATTCTCTCCGATTGGATCTCATTTATCTACAAATACTTTCGATTTACATGCTAATTAATTGCCAATTTCGATAGGTACCATTCCGTGAAACCCATCATGTAGCGGGCGCGGCAGTCCGCACAGCAGAGGAACGTAACACAACCATGGCCAATTTATCATTGTCTGACTTTCAACAGCTTCATGCGGCATTTGATAGTGATATCACCGAAATATGGGATTTCGAGAAGAGTATCGAAAATAGATCAAGCTTGGGTGGAACAAGTAAGGCCACAGTTCTAGAACAGGTTCACAAGTTGAAACAGTGGTTGAGCGAGAAATAAGAAAGAAGAATGGATAAATGTTGATGCTTTTCAGTAAAAATTTATTTCTTTTTATATACTCGGCCTGGATGCCATTCCCTGTGCCTTCTACTCATCTGTTTTCTTTAAATAGAAATCATTCATTTTTTCATAAGTACATTACAATGGAGACTACCTTTTATTATTTATAATTTCATGTTTAATCATTTAAATGTTAATGTTTAATAAAATTAAAATTTCACTGTCATCATACTTTGATAAAAAAATATATAATTTTTTTGAATGGATATTTATGAATTATAATATTACCTTTATATTTAAAAAAATTTATTAAATGATCCTTTTCAATTATTTTTAATTCTCAGTATTGGTATAACATACGGTGTATACAGTACACAGTATATTTAAGAAGTCTATTTTTTTTTAAATATAAATTTAAGTATAATTATTTCAAGTAAAACATCATAATTATTAAATTTTTTTATTAAGGGATTGTAAATTGCACTGTAGAATTGATTAAAAAAAAATTTTTTTTAAACATGGTTTTTATATTAATTATAATAATTTAATAATTTAATTTATTAGTGAACTTGTTATCTAGGTATTTATAAATAATTTTTATATTTTAATTTTGTAATTTATATTTTCAACATTCCGTATTGTATATTGTAATTTATATTTATATTATACTATATTTTTATTATTTATTACAAAAAAAATACAATTTCGCCTATTTACAAAACCTGCACTTTAGAATCGAAGATGATGGTAGTCGCAACCAAAGTACTTCGTGAATCCTTCTATCATTCCAATCGTACCGTCTCTTTCGTTGTTCTATTACAGTACAAGAAAATAAATAACTTGTCAATTGGAAACTTTCTGTAGCATTCTGGCACAAAAAGTATCAAGGACTAGAGAAACCGAAAGCTATTGTTGTCGATTTTCGTGAAACCTTGCTTTCTGTTAATAGAACGCCGTAATTCCATATTATAACGCAAATAGGAATTTACATCTTAATATTATCCGACTTTTTCAAATTTTGTCACTTTGTTTGATTTCAAACAAATTTGAGGGTTTCGGATGTTGAATGATATATAGTAAAATAGTAAACATTTAGGAATTATCATTAATTACCTTGGAGCAAATCAATAATTCTTTGGGAGATATTATCTGTAAATTGTGTTTATGTGTCGTGCAACAAAATCATATTATTTAGTATAATTATATTGAACCATCACGTCCGGCCAAAAACAAACATATCTACAATAAAATCAGAGAGGCATTTCTTCAACAGAATAAAGTATTCAGTTTGAAACAGCCTTAATTAAATAAGCAACTAATTCATCATTTTCTCAACAATATCTAAGATATGAAAGGTTGAAAGAAAGAGATTTTAAGATATACCTTATTATAATACCTTGTTTGCGGGTTGAATGAAAAAAAAAAAAAAAAGACAATCTTGCTTTCGATGTTCGTGAGTGAGTACATTTATGGAAAACTCAAATAAGCCACCTCACGTGATGTCTGGTAGTCGTGTAACAATTTTGCGCGTACAAATGATGGAAAAAAATGAAATGCTGCGTGTTAACATATTCATTATCGGGAAAACCCATTCTTATCTTTAAAGTAAATAACGAATTAATATTTATGAAACTTTATTCATTTGATATTTAACTTGAACATGTTTGGCTGGGGTAAATCACCGGAGGTACGTGGGAAAGACGGATCAAAGAAATCCGAGCCTTTTGACTTGGGGAATCTCGGAATAGATACTTTTAACGACAATTTTGAGCTTCCTCCGGATAGCGATGTTCTAAATGAAGAGGATTTGAACGATCCTGCCTTATTGGTATTTTGTTGTTCCAATCTGCTGAATATTTGTTGGTCGCATTCGATAAACTATAATACAATTCGAGTTACTCTTTTCTTATTAAGGAAGAGTTACAAGCGCTTTCAACTGGAAATCCGAAACCTAAGCAAACAACTAAATCGGCACCTAAATCAAAGCCAAAACCTCCACCAAGCTCGATAGCGGTTGCACCTGCAATTGACGTTGATGCATTGGGCGCTTTAGGAATTCCGAATGATGACGAAGACATCGAGGTTGCATTTGACGAGGAAGATATGAAGGATCCAGCCTTGTTAGTACGTTTCTCGGTCTTTATTAGGATTTTGTATTCGGTTGTTATAACAAATATAATTATTTTGTTGTAATTCTTATTGGCAGAATGAATTACGTGGATTGGGTTACCAGAGTGACAACGACAAGGATAACACGGACGTTAAACAAAGAAAGAGCGCGTTGGAAACGAATGAACACAAACAAAAAGATGTGCTCAGGACTAAGATGGAGATTCAGGTTCGATCAATTTCAACAGTGTCCAAAAATGACAAAGAAGTATTCCATTCGCAAGTTCAACAAAAAGATGACCCATCAGCAATTGGCCAATCAGTTTCAATAACAAGCGATGTTGAGAAAGTTGTTTCGTTTTCGCAAACTCAGCCAACGGGTGACTCATTGAAAAATGATACTCCAATTGATGTCATGCTGCTGGAAGAAAATATTGATACGTTGACCAAATACATACAACAAGAGAAACTCAAAGCTGTGTCTAAAAATCGCGCTGGGGATAAAGCAGGTGCAATGGAGGCTATGAGAGCTTATAAACAATTAGAAGTTAGACGTGATCAAATATTAGGGAAAAAATCAACTACTTCAAATGAAAGTTCTCAGAGTAATGTTCAGATGAAATTGCCTGCAGTTTCTAAACCAGCGGAGAACATAAAATCTCAACAAACTAATTTGACATTAAACCCTGAACTCATTGCATCTATAAGGCTGCGACAGGAGCAATATATGCAGGCCATGAATATTTTTAAGAACACAAATTATCAGAGAGCCAAAGAGTATATGGCTGTCGCAAAAAACTTACAGGCAGTTTTGCAATCCCTAATAAATGGCGATCAATTGCCTGAAGGTTGGACTTTGCCTAAAGAACCTGATGTTTCAGAGAAGGCACAGCCACCTGCTCCATCAACGCCAAAGAAAAAGGTCGCTGCAAATGTTACTCCTAAATCGACGCCTAAACAGAGAGTCTTAACTGCAATTGATGCGACCAAATCGCAGTTATTGGATGAGGAAGAAAGACTACTGACAACGGTACTATATAAGCTTGGTTATATTATGTCCCGTAGATACTAAATAATGACCATATGTACATTAAATTTCAGATGTCAAAAGAAGATCAATATGCTCGGCTATTAGCCAAATTGGAATCACAAATTTCACTATGTACAACAATATCAGCTTATTATCTTAAATCTGGAGACAAGTCACAGGCTTCATTCTTTCATAAATATAAGAAGACGTTTATTGCCGATTTGGAATCGTTGACTTCTTATCAAAAGCATGGCAAAGACATACCACCCTTTCATTATAAGGAAGTGACATATAATGTCGAAAATGCATTTTTCGATCTATCGGCGAATGATATGGAAGTTTGTATCGAGAAGGCTTGGAGCCTGGGAAATAAAGAAGTTAACGGAAAAGATGTTGAAGCTTACGTGAATTTCGATATTGGGTGGCCACCAGAAGGTAGTCCTGGAGCGGGTAGCGGAAAGGGTGATACGTCCGTTGCAAAAAGAGGCATGGACCCAGGTAGATTGTTAGAATAATTATACTCGATTCCAAAATTATCCTTGATCAGTTCTTATAATTAATATAATTGTTTTAACAGAATTTAACTGGAAAAAGACTTTAAGCATAGAGCGTAATAAGGCTTTCCAGCGTCATATAGATCGAAAAAAGGCATTATTTGAAGTATTTCATTATCGTGGTTTTTTCAGAAAAGCCACTTCTCTTGGTAAAGCTCAGGTTAAGCTAGACTCTTTGGCCAATAAGTCCGAAATACATGAAGTTGTTGAGGTATATTATTATTCTACTGAAGATCTTGCTTCTTTTCTATATTAAAACTTACGCCTACTATAACAATGTTAGCTTGTTGATAATAATCGTAGGCCAACTGGTGGTAAACTAGAGATTCGCTTGCGCTTGAGGGCTCCCTTATTAAAAGCCGATGTCATCTCAAAAACGGAAAAGTGGTTAATTATTGATGATCTTAATACAAATCATCCTTTGCATGCAACACCTAAACCTTCAGCATCATCTTCTGATGTAACATCCTCGAAGTCTAGTTCAACGTCAACGCCACTACGAAAAAATCCCATTAATCCAGACACATCAGAAGCTGAGATCCCGATTTTGCCGAAAGCTACTACCACAAATGAATTCTGCGAAACTCCATCGCAGGTATCCGCGCCTGCTGTGCAAAAATTGTCTACGCATACCAAAAATGTGCAATCAACAGATGTTGATCAGGATGAATTGGAACATGCTGAAGAACAATTAAATAAGTGCGTGCAATATTTGCGAGTCATCGGTTAATCCGTGATGTCTACCCAATACTAATTACATTCCAAAAATGAATCTATTTAGCGTTGATTTACTGGTTTCAAGCAAATTGCTTCAACAGGAAAGTGAAATAATTGATGCAGAAATTGCGACGCTAAATGCACAACAAAAACCTGTTCCGGATGAACTATTGGACCGAAAATCGGCGATTCAAATTAAGATGAGTCTGATGGAAGTGCAAGTACAAACTGGGCAGCTGACGATTGATAAATATATAGAACAGGTAAAGGCCAGCGTTGTTAGCTGCAAAAAATTAGCATTGGTATTTAAGAAAGCTGGCAAGTTAGAAGCAGCTAAGAAGGTTCTGGTAAGAAGTAAAGTTATGGAAGGTGAGGTGAAAGAGATCGAGGAAGCAATGGCAAGTGGCGCAATGGGTGGTGAATAGAATTATATAATGCAATTGGATATTTAAATTATGTATATTATTTGTTATACTATCGCTCTCCAGTTTTTTTTCTTTTGTACTAATTCAACTAACGTCTTATGAAATTCTTGAGCTACCCTTATATCAAATTTTGACTCTACTATCATTATTCAATCGAACTGTCTTGCATTTAGCTAGATAAATAACGATATTTAAAAGAACATAATTATATCCAAGTAAAAGTCTGCAATTGCATGTTTAATTTTTTAATAAGGAATATCTAATTTAATTATTTTTATGATAAAATAAAAATAATAATTTTGTATATATTTAATATATTTATTGATGCTTTAATATAGTACAGTCAACCTTTTATGCAGTTACCTCCTATACAATCATATCTCCTTTATAATCACTTGTTTATTTAGTTTCAATTTTTTTTTTTAATTATTTATCTTCTCTAAAGTCACATACTTAGTGTTAGTCATATTTACATGATTTTGAATTTCTACTAATATATTAAATAATAAATAAAATATTTCTTTATAGTCACATGTGGTCGTGTAACATATCCACCACATATGATTGGTCTGATTTATAATAAGCTTTTTAATAGTAAAATACAAGAACTTACTTTTGTATGGAATATTTATTAATACTTTAATTTTTTTTTTTTAATTCTGCAATTAGATTGGTGTTGTTTATTTATTAAATCATAAAAAACCATTACAAGTTGAGAATGCCTGCAAAGTATAAATTTTCTTGACTCAACTCACCCATTAACAGTTGAAACTTCTAGATGTGATTTATAGGAGTGATATATTGTTCCTCTAAAGGATAGAATTAAGATCCCAAACTTCTGATAGGATTAAAATTTGCAAATTACCTCTATAGTCACAACTATAAATCCAAATTGTGTCACTCTCCTCTTATAGTAACTATGCAAGGGAAAAAAGAAGTAAAAAAGGAATTTTTTGAAAAAAAAAAAAAAAACTATTATCTATTTTAACTATCATTGAAGAGATTATCTCTGTAAACTTCAAAACCCAAGCCCCTTATAATTTCTTACTTCTCATCACCTGTGGCCAGTTAAATTATTTAATTTTTATTGGAATAGTTGATGTTCAAAAATGTTTAAGGATACTTCCAGGAGAGTATTTCTTAAGACTTTATATTTAAAGACTTCTAACTAGAAAGAATATTAATTTTCTATTGTTGATTTCTTTTCCAAGTCATATCTTTTGGAATTATTGCTTTCTTTAACTGGTAGATAATTTCAAGATCCCTTTTTCCAACCATTTTCAAAATAAATATTGGTACTTCAACTTGTTATAGATTGGAATAGAACCTAGACCTTGTTGCTATTTTCTGTTCTTAAAAAAGAATATGAAAAAAAGAAAATAAAAAGATAGAAACAAAAAAGTTGTTGCTTTTCTTCTACTCACAACTTC